CAGAACAAGCTGCTGCTCTGAGGCAGGGGAGCGTAGTGTTAAAAGCTTGAGCTCGGGACCCCTGTGTGCCACCGTCCACTTGCTGCCCTGTGCCTCAGTCCCCTCCCCTGTAGAATGGGATGATAATAGTGCCCACACTGTACGTTCCGTCGTGAGGATTAAATGAGACAAGGCATATAAAATCCTTAGCACAGCACCTGGCTCGTAAAAGGTGCTGAACAAAAAGTCGAGCTATGAGCTACTAGACCGAGTGACACCAGGTCACTCTAGGTGTCGTCACATTGCTCCTGTCCCCCACCTGTCCTCTACAAACAGGCTCAGCAATCGTTGTAAGCTACCCAGGGATACACGCACTGACACATGCCAGCCTGGACCCGGGCCTCCTCACCGGGCTGTCTGGAGTCACCCGCTCCGTGGTGACACGGAGACAGTGGGCCGGGCTTCACGTGACACGATACCCAGGGCAGCAGCCGGATATGTAGCCTCCCGCTACGTTCGTCTGCGGGAGACACACAGGCACAGCCCTCTCCCCGGAAGTGTCACAGGACATGTGCATTCTCGCGCTCCCCGATGGTGACACTCGCGACATACACAGACGCACACGTACTCTGCACCGACACCCCCTCGAGGCCCGTTGGGTGCCAGCGCGCTCGCAGGCGGCCGACATGCAGACTTCACCTTGCCGGTCTGCACCGGGCCCCTGCTGGGCCTGGACGTTCGGTGTCCCAACTGCCACGGGGCTTCCGGTGTGGCGGGGAGAGGTGGCTTGTGGGGGCCGCGCGGCCACGGGACACCCACCTCACATGGAGAGAGGGGAGGTCACAGCTGAGCCTTGGGGAGCAGGCAGGGTTTAGTGACTGAGGCCGAGGAAGGGCGCCCCCCGGGGGCGAGAGGGTCGAGCCTGGAGGAGGCCCGCCGACTGTGGGTCCATTCCTGTGGGCACGGGGTGGGAGGCTGAGCGGGCCTGCAGGGGTGGGGGTGGCGGCTGCGGCTGGCAGGGTCCCCACTCCCCACGAAGGACTCTGGCCTTGGTCCCGCGGCCACAGGGGGACTAGAAGGGGGAAAGGTCACTGCCTACGCGGTGGAAGGACATGCGGGTGGGCAGGCCTCGGAGGCTGGCAAAGCAGCCGTGCTGGTGGTGTCCTGGGGGGGGGGGGGGATGGTGGCCCGGGTTGCCCGGAGTGCAGGCAGAGGGGAGGAGAGGAAGGGCGGGTTGGAGCTCATTTCTGAGGTTGAGATGACAGGCCATGCTCCCGGGTGGATGCAGAGCAGGAAGGGGCCGGGGGCGGGGGGGTGGGGGGGGCACAAGTCAAAGGTCTGTTCAGGCTTTCAATTTGTAGACGCCGGTCGAGTGCCTTCCGAGCGCCCCGCACGGTTCCAGTGCCTGCAGTGCGCAGAGGCGGATTTACTCCCTGCCCTCGCGCGGCTTAGTGTGCACGCTGGTGTGTGTTCCGTCATCAATGGACACGGGGCTCTGCAGGAGAGCGCGGGCTCGCTGAGCTCCTGGAGCAGGGGGGTGCGGCAGCGGCTGCTGCTGGAGGGAATCCCAGGAGACTTCTCTGGGGACGTGATACCCTGAGCAGAGAGCGGAGGGGTGAGCTAGTGGGAAATAATGCGCCAACGGGGGAGGAGGTGGGGACGCTCTCAGCAGAGGGAACGGGGCAAGTCTGAGGGTCTGCAGGAAGGCCCCTGTGGCCGGGGCACAGACAGCAAGTGGCATCTGCAGCCAACGAGGCTGGAGGGGCAGGCAGGGGTGTGAGGCTGAGCGCTGGTGCGGCAGCGAGATCCTGGAAAGGAGGAATAGGTTTGTGCGGGTGGGGTCAGGCCTGGGGCACGCACGGTGCCCGTGAGGAGCGGGGAGACAAGGCGGGCGAGGAGCCAGGATTGTTGACGCCACGGATACAGGGACCGGGCAGCAGGACCAGAGCTGCAGAGGGGACAGAGGGCCATGGTGAGCCTCCCCTGGCCCGCTCTTTCACATCTACCATCTTACTGGAGCCCCGTGAGCTTGGCAAGGCAGGGGTCGGTCTCGTTTCACAGGTGGGAGGACTGAGGCTTAAGCCGGAAGTTGCCTCGCCCCAGGTCACAGAGCGAGTCACTGACCAACCTGGGCCTCTTGCCGGCTAGGAGCGTGGTGCGGTGTGGGGGCCCTGGCTGGGGGCTCCGCGGCTGAGCCCCCACGTCTTCCCTCTCCAGCTTCCAGTTCTCAGGCTCAGCCAACAGGAGTTGGCAGCTGGGGGGGGGGGCGGGGGGAAGTGAACTCCAAATCTGCAGGAGTCACCCGGAGGCCGGCGCTGGCGCCAGGATTGGGGCGCCCCTCGGCTCCCTGCGGCCCCCACCAGTCCATGGCTGCTCCTTCCCCCCTCAGCTGCAGAGCCTAGAGCAGGAGAAGGGGCGGTGGCGGGTGGAGAAGGCCCAGCTGGAGCAGAGCGTGGAGGAGAACAAGGAGCGCATGGAGAAACTGGAGGGCTACTGGGGCGAGGCCCAGAGCCTGTGCCAGGCTGTGGACGAGCACCTGCGGGAGACCCAGGCCCAGTACCAGGCCCTGGAGCGCAAGTACAGCAAGGCCAAACGCCTCATCAAGGACTACCAGCAGAAGTACGTGGTCAGGGGGCTGGGAGTGGGGCTTCCTGGCCCGGGGAGGGCTGAGAGGCCCTTAGCGGCAGCTCTTCCCCTCCCCCCTGCCCCCAAGCTGAGTAGGGAGGCAAGGAGCACAGAAGGTGGAGGGCCCCATGGTGGGGGTACCTGGGCTCAGAATGACTGGCTACTGGAGCCAGCAGTCAGGCCCCAGAGGTTTTGGGAAGAGCTGGGGCCTCCCGACTTAAGGGAGAGGGACAGAGCTGCCCAGGTGGGCCTAAGGACAGGGCTGAGGATCCTGAGACTCCTTGGATGGAAGTCAGACTACACACCCTTACCCACGGTCTGTCCCCTGCTGATCCCTAGGGAGATCGAGTTCCTGAAAAAGGAGACCGCACAGCGCCGAGTTCTGGAAGAGTCAGAGCTGGCTAGGAAGGAGGAGATGGATAAGCTCCTGGACAAGGTAGGCCCGGGATGCCCTGGGGGCCAGTGCCTATAGAGGGGGCAGCAGGTAAGCTCCCCTTCAGTACCTCCTCTGTGGGTCCTGGAGGGAGAGAGGGAGTCATACTGCTGGCTCAGGGTCCTGTCCCCATTAGGGGGTCAGAAGGGGCAGGGCCCACGCCTGGTGTCCAGGCCTGACCCCCTCTCCCTTTTGTTTGCCAGATCTCAGAACTGGAAGGAAACCTGCAAACACTGAGGAATTCCAATTCTACTTAACAGGAATCATTCCTTGACGGGACAATAATTAATCCCCTCCCATTGTCCTCCCTCCCCTGTCCTCAATAATTCACCCCGCCCCCTACCAGCCTGGGGACAGGTGCCCCGACTTCCCCACCCTCCGCCCCGCCTCCCCCAGCTTCAGGGACCAGAGGGCCTGGGCAGACAGAGGTGGCTGGAAGGACGGCCTCCTTCTTGCCCTATGGGGCTGAGGCACAGAGGCCAAGGGATGCCGATGGTTGGCCTGGGTGGTGGATGGACACAAGGACCTGAGGACCATACTGCCAGACTTTATAACCTCCAGCCTTTGTCTCTGGACTGGAATGGGGCTGGGGGCTCTCCCAGCATCTCACCACCTGGAGGCTGCTCCCTGCCCACGGGGCTCCTAGGCGACCCCTGGGCCTCTTGACTTGAGATTCTACCTTCTTGGCCCTTTCCCTGTCCCCCATCATTGTGCTGTCTCTGTTGCATTCTGACCCTCCTGCTGGGAGGGGCTGCCTCCACACCTCCTCCCATCCTGGTCCCCCCATCCAGGAGGGACAGAGTCTACCCCTAAGCCTGGAGGCTGGGCCTGGCCCTGCACTGACTTCTCATGCATCCTTCGGGAAAAGGGGAGAGTCCAGGACACCTGGTCCCCAGCTCCCCCTTTCCTGGGGCAGCAGCCCTCAATTTTTCCTTGTGCCTCCCCACCCCCAGGTGCCAAATAGCCATAACCTCCTCCTGGAACTGTTCTGTGGCCTCTCTGGGCTCCAGGTTTCCTGGCCAAGCCTGGGAATGCCAGGGAAGAGAGGTCAGCTTAGGGGGCCTGGCTACAGAGCCCCTGGTCTTAGGCGAGGGGAACATTTCCCACTGGAGAGCCAGGCCCTGCCCTGCCCAGGGCCACACCTGGAAGCCTTGTACTAACATGGCAAATTCAGCCTCACTCCGCCCACACCCACAATTTTCCAAGGTTTTGACTGGAGGGCAAAATTTTACTACTACTCATCTTTTTGGAGACCAGGGCTGCCCTGCTGGCAGCCTGCTTTCTAAGTGAAATCCGCTCCGTTTCCCCACTGTAACCCCAAATTGGGGCTTGGACCAAGGGAGGTGAGGCCCGCCCCCCCCCCAGGTTCCCTCCCCTTTCAGGATCCATCTCTCATTTTGCCTCTTCCTCCTGTCCCTGCCCCAGACTGGATTTTTGTTCATTTTTTAAAAACAGACAGCCCCCATCACATCGTTTGGGCTTCTCGTCCCCTGTAAATAGACCACGCCATCGATCAGTATTTCTCGCCCCGGCCCCCCCGCCCCCAGAAGTGCCCCTACCCCCTGAAAAAGCTGGCTGTCTCAGTGCCCGCGCCCACGCGCTTCGCCTCCTCCGCCGCCGCAGATGGGGGGGCGGGGCCAGGTGGGCGGGGCCGCGGGGCGCTTCCGGTTTCTCGGGCCGGCACCGCCCCTGCCCCGCCCCCCCGCAGGACTGCGTCTCTGTATATAATATATATATGTATGTATTGTTCCCGGTTTTGTACGGACCATGCCCTCTGTCAGGTCGTCCCCATAAAAGCAGCCCCCAGAGCCTCGCTGCCTGGTTTCTTGATTCGTGGGGGAGGGACAGGGTTGTTGGCCGGTGCCCCGAGGTCCCCTCCTACCGGTGCGGCCTTCACTGTGAGGATCCTTCTCATGGGGATCCTATTTTCCAGCTTCCAGCAAACTCCCTCTTTGCCACCATTTCCCCCATCAGCACCCATGCTTTTTTATCCATTCCTCTTGGGCAGGGTTGGGGTTTCTAGAGAGTTCCTTAGCCCCATCGCATTTCCTTTTTAGGAGGCCTCTGACAGAGTTCAGAGGATGGGTTAGATAAGTGAGGATAAGGCGAACCGCAGGTCCCTTCCCTGAGAAGTCTAACCTCATGGGGATACTCAGCCTGTACTCTCACAAGGCACCCTACCTGAGGTACCTGAAGGATCAAAGGTCTCCTGGGGGTGGGAGGTGACACGTCGGAGCAGTTTTGTGCCTGGGGTCCTAGAAAATTTGAATAGCCCTAGCCCCTTGCTCTGTGCCAGGATGGTTGGGTGCTAACTCACCAGCTCTGATAGAATGGGTCTGGCAGTCCAGATGCCAGGGTTCTAAAGACAAGATTTGGTGAAGTCCCAGAGAGCGGAGAGAGCAGGGGGCAGTAGGACCAAGGCTCAGGCAGTCCCCGACACCAGCCTTGCCTTGCACTGGGTGCTGGTGTGTGCATGTGTGAGAGAACAGAAGCACAAGGCACTCATGCAGGAGAGTGGCCTGGCCCCCAAGGGGATTGTCACATTCTCCTTTGCCTGAAGGAATGAAGTCCCAACATCAGACTCTTTGTGGTCACTCTGATGGGTCGCTGACAGCACCTGAGATGACTGGCCTCTACCAGAACTCCAGGTGGCAGTCAGCACCTGAGACAGCCACTCCCTTGAGGATGGTTTTGTCACACAAGTCTCATGTGAAGCCAAATTCAGGCTTCCCACCCCTTCCTCTCAAAAATCCTAGTTCTACACCGCAGGGCCATAGAGCACCCATCCAGCCTGCCGCCCACTTGCGGGGCACCTGGAAACCTGGGGATAGTGACCATGCCTCTCAAGGCATCTTCCCTGGGTGGATCAACCTTGGGATGCTTCTGGGAAGAAAGATCCAAGTGGCTGAATCCCAAGATCAGAGACCACCAAACCACAAGGCCGCAGGTCATGGCTCCAGAGACAGAAGTCACTGAGGCCCTGCTTGGGAAACCTAGCCAAGAAATTCCAACAAGTGAAGTGGCCCGACCAACCTGGGTGGTTTGACTGGAGCTGTTTCTAGGGTGAGGTCCTGCTGTGCCCCCCCCCCCATCTGTCCTGTGTATTATGTGAGGGGCCTGTACATCGTATATTCCAAAAGGTCGGCCAGGTGGTTCCCAGTGTCTAAGCCTGAGTATTTTGTACGGCGGGGGGGTGGGGGTGTTATGTGTGGCTTTCCTTTGAATTTCTCAGGCCTAAGATGTGACATGACCATGAACTATGTCCACGTTTGGGGCTATGTCAAGTGGCCAGGGGTAGGCCCATGTGAGGCTTGTCACCTCAGCCCTGCCCTGTCACGGGCTCCGTTCTTAGGAGCTTGAGCAGGTTTACCAGAACCCCAGCACTTGCCATAGGAGAGGGAAACCAAATGAAGGGCATTTTCTCAACTCCCGGAGATCAGGCATCACTAAGAACAGGGGGTCCTCCCAGGTCCTATAGCCTAGAAGACACCCTCCCACAGAACCTGTCCCTGCCCCCCAGCCCTGGTGTTACATACCCATGATCTCCCTATTCCCTACAGGGCCTATATAACCAACCCTCCCCATCAGGTCTCACCAGATGCATGAAAACCATGTCCTCTTTCAAGACCCCAGACTTAGCCCTGTAGGATGTCACCCAGAGTCCCCACCACCTCCCCAGATCACCACAATCTGGCCAGCACATGGCTGCCAGCAGATTCTGAAGACACACAGAGACCCCCAAACTCCCACAGATTTCTTAGGATACCTTCAGCCCTCAAAGCTTATTAATTCAGTCTTCACCCACAGCCCCAAAGACCATCCTGGCTCAACATGCCACCTCTCACAGCCTCTGTGACAACAGAGACTTCAGCCAGCCCTTGGGGAACTCTTTCCCCACAGGCTGCACACCTCCCCGCTGAGCTCTGGACCCCTCCATCCAACCTCACCATTTGCTCTTGAACAAACCACTTTCATTCTTTGAAGTCTCTTGTTTTCCCCTCTTAAAATGGGGGTAATAGAAACGACTAGGCTTATTGTGAGAGTGACATTGACAATCAGGGGAAAGTGCTTACTTAGTACAATGCCTGGACCCTGCGCCCTCACTGTATGGTAGCGCATCGTTGATTAGTACAGTCTCCGGGGGCTGGCCTGCCTCAACCTCCAGCTCACCACTCCAAGTGTGATCTCATCCCCGCCCCCCCCCCCCCCCCAATGCCAGCCTCAAGCCAAGGCCTCCTTCTCCCTCAGTGGCCAGCAGTCCCCAGATCTGGTCAATTTCTTCCATTCTGTATCCTGAATAGTGCTCAGCTTGATCTGTGATCTTCATGCCCACTGCCCTCATCACTCATCAGCCTCACCCCTGCCTCGGGCTGCCCTCGCCAATCCACTCTCCACAGAGGAGCCAAAGAGTTCTCCCTAAAGAGCAACTCTGAGCCCCTCACTCCTCTGTTACTTTCCCCAAGGGCTCCCAGGACAGACTGCAAGCCCTCCCTCCACCCCTGCACCTTCGCAGCCTCACTCCTCTTCCTCTCTCGCCCTCCACCCCCCCAGCCCCACTAACACTTCTACCCAGCCCTGGCCTGCGGGGGTAGCCAACAGAGCACCTCCACCTGGAAGGCTCCCGAGTTACCTCCACCCTCACCCACCCCCAGGCCGCTCCGGCGTCCTCCGGTGCGCTGTCTCGGCGCCGCCTTAGTGTCCTCTGGGAACCGGGGCTCGGGGCACCCGGGCTTGTGAGGGCCTCCCCACCCCCGCCCCCGACAACGCCGCGAGCCCCCGACGCCTCGGCCCGGGCGGTTCTGTTCCCCGCGGTGCCCTCAGGCCTTGGCGCACACGATTGCTCGATGGAAGTCCAAAGACTGGATGACTCGGGAGCCCGCACAGACCTCGTAGAGGAGGCGGAAGCCCAGTGGGTCCAGAGGCGGGGCCGCTCCCACCCCCCGGACTTCCGCGGCCAGACTAGTAGCGGCAAGTCGGAATCCCCTCGCCCGGTCGCCGCGCCGGGCCGCCTCCTCCCTCCCCTCCTGCCGCCTCCGCCCCCTCTCCCTCCCTCCCTCCCTCCCGCTCTTTGTCTCCCGGCGCCGGCCTCCCCGCCACGCGCCCCCCGCACCGCCCCTCCCGGGAGACCCCCGCGGACGCGACGCGACGCGTGTCGGCCTGCCCGGCGGGGGGCCTGCGGCCGGCGGGGCCCGGCGGGCGGCGGGGCGGGCGGGGAGGTGGTTCCCTCCCCCTCTCCCTCCTCCGTCGCTCACACGCACACACACAAACACGCGCACACACACGCGCGCACACACGCGTACACGCGCGCGCGCACGGAGCATCCTCCCGTCAGGGCTCTGGTCCAGCCCCGCCCGCGCCTCCCGCTCCCCGCAAACCCTCTCCTTCTCTCCCGCTCCCCCCCACATCCCCTCCGGCTCCCGGACCCTCGGCGCCCGCGCCCGCCCCTCTCCCGGGATGGAGCGGCTCGAGCCCGCCCGCAGCCCCCCGCGGCCGGGGTGACGGCCCCCCGCCCCTCCCCGCCTGGCCCGCGCCCGAGCACCATGGGCCTGGGGGGCTCCCGCGGCGCCGGACGCTGAAGATGATTGATGCTGGAGGTGAGGACCCCGACGTGGACGGGGAAGCAGAGCCGGGGTCACCCGGGCTCGCGGCGGGACCCTGAGTGGGGTCGGATAGGGCCTTTCTTCCCCATTCCTGGGGGGGCGCGCGGAGCTGGGGTGCTGGGCTGCCGGGGGAGGGGGCGGAGATAGGATTTGTGTCCCTAATCCTCTCCCTCCCGGAGAAATTAATTTTAAAAAACTGGTGTGGGGGGGAGGGGGAGAGGGCTTAACTCCTTCCTGCCCGGCGCGGAGTTGGACGGCTGGACCGGAGAGAAACTAGCCGCCCGGCCCGGACTGGGAGTGCGGTAGGTGCCCCGGCCTCCGCGGCGCTGGGAGCGCGGTCCCACTCGCCCGTCGCCGCATCCCGGGCCTAGGGGAGGGGGCCCCGCTTTCTCCAGCTCCCTGCTGCCCCCCTGCCCCCAGCCTCCCCTCCTGGCCTTTCCTTCCCGGTCTTTCCCAGTTGCACTTCTGTCTTGGTCTCTTTCTCCTCTTCCCCGGCCCCTTTCCTCTTGCCTGCCCCGCCGGGCCCGCCCCTCTCCCTACAGCCGCCCCTTGGCTCTCTCCTCGCAGCCCTCCCTGGGGCCTCACTCCCGGCGGGCCGGCCGGCCCGAGGGAGCTCGGCCTCCACCACCGCTTCCCCCGCCCCACTCAGCTCTTTCCTGCTCTTTCTTCCCTCTCCCTGCAGCTCTGTGGACAGTCTCCAACCTGTCGGTCCCTGTTCCTTCTTCCCACTCCCCTCTGGGGCTTGTGCACCCTTTCTCTTTCTCCTTCCCTGGCTCTCAGGAAGCCTCCCTTACTCCCAGAGAAGAGTCAAAGGTCATAGGTGCTACTCCTCTGGGAACTGGAAGCTTTGGGAGGAAGGAGTGGCCTGGTAGGACCAGTGCCCAGACTGGGTCCAGGACAGGTTCATTTCCACCTTGTGGCAGTTCCTGGTTAAATGTGTGCCCATGAGTGTGGGGGGGGGGGGGGAGGGGGGGTTCCAAAGCTCAGTTTTGGTGAGAGGGGCCTGGTGACCTTTTGGATGGCCTGCGTCCCAGAGTTCCCCATGGAACAGTGTAGGATGGGCCGCCCATACACACCCCAGGGAGTTAGTTGTTGAGGGCGGAACAGAAGCCATTTGTGCTGAATCAGGATGGATTAGGCACAGGTGTGAGCTGGAAGGCCCAGCCTACCTCAGAGGATACCTGGAAGAGGACTCTAACCACAAGATGGTCTTCACCCTGGACTGGGACTTTGAATAAAGAACACATGGGATCTCCGTTCTCAGCTAATCTAAGAGAGGAGGCACCACTTCTGACCTCAGGGAGCCTCCATTCTATTGGGAGAGGCCCTTCTTATCTTCAGGGAGCCCCTAATCTGATGAGGAATACCCTTTCTTTTCCTCAGGGAGCTCCCATCTGATGCAGGGGAGATATGACCCATTTAGGGAATCAGTGAAGTATGAAAAACCCCTATTTCCCAGTGGTTGGGGAAGGGTGAATTTAGAAATTGTGTGGACAAATGGGAGGGAGAAGGGCTGTCTAGGACAAAATTCTGGAGGAGGGGGCAGCCTGGTCTTGGTCAGATGAGGCTTTGTGATTGAATGAGGGAAATTCGCTCATTCGTAGGGGCAGTCTCCCTTCCAAGATGGCCCTTCAGGCAGGAAGAGAGGTTCTAGAATTTCTTTGCTACTAGCACCCAGAGTTCAAGAATGGCAAGAGAGTTCTTGGAGGGCCCACGTCCCCTAGCCCCTTCTCATGCCTCATTTCCTGCTTTCAGCCCCAAGCATCCATGGAACTTGGGGTGGAGATGGTTTAGAAGCTTCTCCCAACCCTAGACAGTAGGGCCAGCCCCCCTTCCTCTACTTTTCTCCCTTCTCCCCACAGGATCCTCTCCTCATGCGTACCCTCCAAAACTGCAGATCATCCCCCAGGATAGCGCTGGAGGGCAGGAGACAGGTGGGGGCTGAATTCCCCCTCTTATCTCCTGCACCTCAGTTTTCCCATCTGTAAAGTGGCGATACTAAGAATCTCAAGCCCATGCGGCTCAACCGTGAGATGATGTGTGTGTAATATCAGGAGAGGAATGTTGGAAAAGACTCCAGCAAGCATGAGGCCTAGCCTTCCCATGCCTGTCAAATGCATGTCTAGGCCAGCGCCCTGCCCTGCTCATGGGCACCTGAGTGTTAGCAGTCATTGGAGATCATGTCCCAGCCGTGCGGTGTGCCCCTGCTGCTGAGCTTCCCCCCCTCCCCCGTCCCCTTGGCCAGTATTCCCCTTCCCCTCTAACCCCAGGCTTTGGCTTAGGGCCACTGCCATCCTGCACCTGCTAGGAAGCCTGCCCGAACTGTTTCAGCTGCGTACGTCCCGCTTCCCCACCTGCCTCCCTTCTTGCTTCCCACCAAAAAGCAAAACCAAACCCCTACCCATCACACTTCCTGCCGGAACGTACTTGCATCACAGAGATTTGGCTGTCCACTGTTGTGCTGTGGGTACTCCTCATACCCTTCTGCATCTGTGAGTCTGTCTGGAACTGTGAGAACTGCGAGTTTGTCAAGAACAGGGGCCTTGCTGATGGTGCCAGCTTCCTGAACAGCTCATGTTCGGGAAGGCAGGTGGTGAGCACACCAGTGATGGGGGGTGGAGGGCAGGCAGGACTGGGTGATGGACGGGAAGACAGGTGGGTGGATAGTATGAACTGATGGATGCAGAGATGGGAGGATGGATGGATGGATGGATGGATGGATGGATGGATGGATGGATGGATGGGCAAGTGGGTGGATGGCTAAATAGGTGGGTAGGTAGATGGATGGATGGATGGATGGATGGATGGATGGATGGATGGATGGATGGATGGATGGGCAAGTGGGTGGATGGCTAAATAGGTGGGTAGGTAGATGGATGGATGGATGGATGGATGGATGGATGGATGGATGGATGGGCAAGTGGGTGGATGGCTAAATAGGTGGGTAGGTAGATGGATGGATGCAAGGATGGATGGATGCAAGGACCTGGATTCTGCTCCTGATTTTGCCATTGGCTTGTTATGTGACCTTAAGCCAGTCATTCTCCCCTCTGTTTCTTTATTTGGAAAATGAGAGGATTGGATTTAATAATCTCTCAAGATTTCTCCCAGGGTTGCTGTTGGACAGTTTATGATGATCATTTTGAGGGAATGCTGATGATGGAAAGGCCCCAGACATTGAAGTGTGTGTGTGTGTGTCGGGGGGGAGTTCAGTGAGCCATGTGAATGCACACAGCAAATCAGCTTGGACCAAAATCCCAGGACTCAGCCTCTGTCTACACCCTGGATTTGCTTCTGCCCCTACTCTTTTACTTCTGCCTCCTGCCCCAACTCCCACCGTCTGGGGTATGGTTCAGACAATTTCTTTTCCAAGGGGCTGGAGGAAGAGTTCTAAGGGAAGGTGAGGGGCCAGAAGGCCAGGAGCAGGCAGCCAGGGGTAGCTACCTTGTTTCCCTCCACCAACCTGAACCTCTTATCCATGGTCTCTCTCTCTCTCTCTCTGCCCTCCTCCGTTCTCCTCAGCTCTCTTGCGTCATGGCTTCTTCAAAGCTACGAGAACCTGCGGATGAGGTTTTTGGTAAGTTCTGTTTGCTCTAACTCTAAAGCCACCGGCACTGGGGGGTTCCCCCAGGACTCCGGTGTGTGTCTTTGTGTGGGTGTGTGGGTGTGTGTGTATTGTGGCCTGGCAGCCTGAGTCTCTGTCATGACACTCTGTGCCAATGACAACCACAACGATCAGGGTCTCCATTTAGGAAGCGCTGTCTCACTAGGCTGACACCCCCATCCCACAATGTCGCTTACGCCCCACAATAAGGCCACGAGGTGTGCCCATTGTACGGACAAGGAGCCCAGGGCGCAGAGTGCTGGAGTGACTCGCTTTAAAGATCACGTGGCAGGTCAGTGGCAGAGCTGGGACTAGAAGTCCGGACTGGGCGGCTGTACCCCTGAATCCCAGCCCAGGTGACAGCCATTGCCTCCACATTGCATGGTAACGGCCCTCAGCCTGCAGGGTGTGCGTGGAAATCAAATGCCCAGAACACAGAGCCTCAGTGCCCCCAGGCCCGCCCCAGCTCCGTACACCCCGGGGTGCATGCACACGCCTGCCTGCACCATCATGTACCCCCTGCGGTCTTTCTGTTGGGCGGTGTGGGGAAAGCCCCCCCTGACAGGGCAGAGTGCCCAGCATGCACCGGGGTGGAAGGCTGGTTCCCAGCTGGATTTGGTGGAGGAGTCAGGAAGCAAGGGATGGGGAGGCTCCTGAGGACCATGGAGGGAGAGGGGAAGACAGCAGCCGTCGCCCGAAGCCCGTGGCATGTGCGCAGCCCTCGGGACTCTCTTGTTGGTGTGCCTAGCCTCAAGGGGCTCCCGGCTTCTCCTTGTCTCTCCCTTCCCTCCCCTCCCCTCCTCCCTCTCCCCAGCTCACCCCCTTCTCCCCTGTGCGGCCATATGCCTCTGCAAAGCCAGGAAGTGCTGCCTCCCGGCTCCTGGGAACGCTGTTTTTTCCCAGCCTCCCTGGGGCCCATGGAATGGAGGGTTTGCCTCCGGGACTCCTCCAGCCTCCACTGCCTCTGGGCCTCAGACTCTAGGGTCTCACCATCTGCACCCAGGCCTGGCCTCACGGAAGTGAGCTCCTCCTCTCCTAGGCTTCTGGGCCTCCATTCCCACTCCCAACCCCAATTCTTCCTGTGTTCCTTCTCCTGGACCTGCTGAGGACCTGCTGAGGTAGCTGGCCGCCTTGCCTGCTTCCTGATGTGAAAGGCAATGAAATATTCATGACTCCCCACTGCCCAGGGCTCTGGAGAGAAAGACAGAGCGACAGACCCGCACAGAGATGGAGGGAGGCCAGGGAGCCAAGTAGAGCAGGGACCAGGGGGAAGGCAGGCCCCACCTTGCCTCGAAAATACCTCAGCCCCCTAGGAGTTCCTTTGCTGCCTAGACCCTCCAAGGTAAGCCGCCCCGAAGTCCTGATGTGGCCCAGAGTCAGGAGAAGGGCCCTTCTCCCTGGCCCCGGGGGGCTGGGCACCCGCCGAGGGCTGGAGGTGGAGAGGGTGTTCCACAGCTCCCGGCCCCACCGCCCAGAACAGCGAGAACACTAGTCTGGGAGCCAGGAGGCCTGGATGCTGTCCTTCACTCCCTCTCCACCCCTGGCCAAACCTTTCCTCTCCGAGCCTCAGTTTCCCCACCTGTAAAATGTGGGGTTGGACTCACGAGTCACCCCCATCTCTGCCTCAGAGGCGGTGTGGCAGGCTTGATGGTTACACACTGAGCCTCAGGAGCCAGACTGCCTATAACCCTGGCCCCTCTCTTCGGTGGGCAGATGCCCTGGGGCGGATTAAGGCTGCCCTGGGGATTCCTGGAGTCTCTTCCTCCTAGGGTTGTGGGGAGTTTAAATGAGCTAGTAATTGTGAAGCACTTAGAACGGGTGCCTAGCACAGTGAGAGCTCAGTAAGCATTAGCAATTATTGTTCTGTGGTTCGGTCCTCAATCCTTGCTGCTTGCAGATAATGCTTGGAGATGCTGTGTCCCGTCGTTGGGGAGCCGGGGACGGAGGAGGGCTCCCTCCCTCAGCTCAGCCGCAGGGCCTGGAAACACCAGAAGCAAAGCAGGGGCAGTGAAGGAGCTAGAGGAGCGGTGTCAGGCTGGGGTCCCAAATAGCGGTCCTTTGACAGGACCTCTCCCCTCGCCAAGGCCCCACCGCTGCCCCAGGACATGTGCAACAGGCTCTGTGGCGGTCCACCCTCCCCTGCCCCCGGGGGCCAGGCCAGTCCCCTCCCCTTGCAGGCTCCACTGGCCCACACCATCCCTTCTCCTTAGAAAGCTCCTTCTTGTTCTTCCTACAGCCTTGGCTCTCTCCTCAGCCCGGCTGCCTCATCTAAAAGAGAGCCCCCAGCCCCTGCCCGTCTCTTTCTTCCCCTCCACAAATACCACGGAGCCCCTTCCGTGTGCCAGGCTCTGTGTGAGGCCCCAGGGAGACAGTCCCTGCCCTTGTGGGGCCTGAGTGCCAGGGCGGGGCAAGCAGGGGACCGACCCTGGGGCACACAGGACCCATGATGAGGAACATGTCCTGGGGAGGAGTGCTCCTCAGAGGGGCGCGCGGTATGGATGTGACAGAGTGTGGGCATTAGCACTGCCCTGTGCCTTGAGTCCATCTCTGCCTGGCTGTGCCCTGGCTTGGGGCAGGGCCTGGTGAAGACCTGAGTAAGGCAGCTCAGTCCGAGGGAGAGGAGAGGCCACATTCCAGGGCTGGGAGGAAGGCAAATCAACAGAACGGTGTGTGCGGTTTTTTTGGTCATTAAAATCATATTTACTAAGTACCTACTATGTGCCAGACACCACCCTGGGTTAGAGCAGTGAACAAAATAGAGGAATGTCTGCCCTCATGGAGCTGACATTCTAACGAGTGGAGAGACAATAAACTAAGTAAGTAAAATATACAGCATGCCAGAGAACGACACGTGACGTAGGGAAAAACCAGGTCAGGGTTCTGGGGGGGGAACTGTACATTGAGTGGTCAGTAAGGTCCTCAGGGGTAGAAAGCGTTTAAGCAAAGGCCTGAAGGAGGCAAAGGACAGAACCCTGCAGAGATCTGTGGCAAGAGCCTTGCAGGAAAAGGGAAGAGGAAGTGCAAAGGCCCTGAGGTACAGTGAGGCTTGTGTGACGAAGAGCCAGGAGGCTAGGATGGCCCGAGAGGAGGGAGGAAGAGGGGGAGAAGTAGAAGCTCAGAGAGGTAAGGGGAGCACAGACTGAGTCTGGAAGGCCCCTGGGAGAACTTGGCACTTACTCTGTGTGAGATGGAAGTCCCTGGAGGGTTCTGAGCAGAGCAGTGACAGGGGCTGACATGTTTCATCAGGATCACTCTGGCTGCTGCGGTGTTGAAAATAGACTGTAAGTGGGAAAGGGAGGAAAAGGGAAGACCAGCCAGGAGGCTTTTGTAATAATTGAGGCAGGAGGTGATAGTGATCTAGACCAGGGAGGCTGTGTGTCCCCCTCTCCTCTCTCCTTCCCTGCCTTCCCCTCCTCTCCCCTCCCCTCCCTTCCTCTCCTCTTCTCCCTTGCTCCTCTGCTCTCTGTTCTCTCCCTCTCCGTGTGTAGGCACGGCTGGGTGCGCGTGCACACACACACACACACACAGAGAAACAGCAATTTTATTGTGGGAAGGAGGAGTACAGGGACGGGCCTAATGCATTCCACCGTGCATTCTGCTACTGTCACTCTGTGGTCATTGGGTCGTGGCCAGCCGTCCATCTCTCCCCACTCCTGTTCCCCGGGATTATTTTGAACCGAATCCAAGACATCGTACCACTTCACCATCAATATCTCAGTATGTCTACATACATTTCGAAGGTAGAGCTAATAGGAATTGTGGCTAGATGAGTGTGGAGGGTGGGAGGGAAAGAGAGTCAAGGGTGACTCCAGCGCTTGGCCTGAGCCGCGGGTGACATGGAGCGGCCAGTCACAGCTGGACACGGACGCCGAAGCTGCCCATGGCACATCCAAGGGGAGGGGACCGGGAGGTGGCCGGACTCTTGAGCCAGCGGCTGGGGCTGGGGCTGGGGCTGGGGGTGAACCATAGCTCGGGGCTGTCTGCATTGGGTGGACAATGGGGCCTTTCATAGAGCCGAGGAGCAAAGGGGAAGCCGGCCTGAAGCAAGGTGGTGGGTTCATCCCAATAGATATTTTGGGGACCTGGGTGCCTTTGAGACGGCAAGTTCCCTGATGGGTGCTGAGGTGCCCGGGCTTGGAATTCAGGGAGGGCTCAGGGCTGAACCAATAGGTGATAGTGAAGCCAGGCCAGCAACTGGGGTGGGTGGCTTAAGGGGTATCTGCCCACAAGAATAAGAGGAACAGGCAAGGCAGGGCCGGCATGAGGGGTGAGATGGCAGAACCCCAAGATCACGGGGCGGGGGGAGTGGGGAACAGAGGTCTTAACCCATTCTGAGGTCTGGGAAGAGCCTCTTCTGTATGGAGACCCCAAGCTTGGGGGACTTCATTCCCCGGGGGGAGCAAGGAGGAAGAGAAACTAGGAGCAGCAGGGTTTGTGCACGATCCATTGGGTTTGCCTACTCTTCTTCCATGTCTCCATCCCACTTCAACCCAGCCCCACACCACTGACCCCAGGAGGGGAGAGGCAGGCCGCGCGGGGACTGGGGTTTTCCTGATGCTGCTGCTATGTTCCCGTCAGCAGGGCTGGGTCTGAGGGCAGCCCTGGGCATGGCACAGCAAGCCAGGGTCCCAGCGCGGCCAGTCTCTGGACACACTAGTCCGGCTCAGAGCCAGCCCGGACCGCCGCTAGCTGGTGGCTGCAGGCAAGAGACTGAACCTCTCTGAGCCTTAGCTGGCGCAGCTATAAAATGCGTAAAATGTGCATAATAGCTGTCCCCAGCTCCCTGGGGTGTTTTGAGTAGATGAGGTGCTGTATGAACATTCTGGCACATAGTAGGCGCTTCTTTTTAAAGATTTTATTTTTTTATTTGACAGAGAGAGAGAGACAGCGAGAGCAGGAACACAAGCAGGGGGAGTAGGAGAGGGAGAAGCAGGCTTCCCGCTGAGCAGGGAGCCCGATGCGGGGCTCAATCCCAGGACCCTGGCATCACGACCTGAGCCAAAGGCAGACGCTTAACGACTGAGCCACCCAGGCGCCCTAGTAGGCGCTTCTTAAATGGTAGCTCTTATTACCACGATCGGTCTGGTCTCATCCCCAGCCCTCCTCTCCACAGACCTACCCTCCAGGTGCCTGGAAGGGCCCCCCTCCCCCGCTGCACCACTCCCCTGCGCTTCCCTACTTCCCAGCATTGCATATAGCAGCTCACCAGCCTCCTCTCTTGTAAACTCCCACCCAGACCTTAGACCAGCTGTGGTGCCTCCTCCCCTGACCCATCCAAACAGGACATCCTGTGCTCCTGTGTGCCTGTCAGAGACCCCACCACACTGCTGTGTTTCCCGCCTCTGAGACTGTGAGGGACCCCGTTCTCCATCTCATCTGTACCCCCAGCGCGGGGCACTCAGAAACGTTTGCCGAATGTCTGGGGTGTGAGTGCGGGAGCCCTGAGGTGCTCACAGGCCTGCTGTCCTCACGTGTCTGGTCTCTGCCCCCTTCACCTGGTTCACAGACCTGGACTTGGCTGTGCCAGAGACCGTCAGACTGGACAGCAGTTTACACAAGGCCCGCGCCCAACTACTGGCCAAGGGCCGGAGACACCGGCCCTCCCGCTCCAGGCTTCGGGACAGCGCCAGCTCTGCAGAGGATGGTGAAGGCTCCGACGGGCCCGGAGGCAAGGTTGGGGCAACCCACCCAATCACGCATACCCTACCCACCCTCTCCGCCCCGGACAATCCCCCCAAACCCTTTTCCTGGGAAACCACACTCCCAGACTTCTGCCATAGTCATGCCAACAAGGATTACCTGCATTCACTCTGGCTTGGGTGAAACTTTTAAGGGAGGCATTATTATTCCCATCTTACACGTGGGGAAACTGAGGCTCCGAGAGGTTCAGTAACAAGGTCACCCAGTTAGGAAGTGAGGGACGTGGGATTCAACCCCAGCCTCCGTGGCTGAAGGCCCCCCAACCCCCACCTCTCACTGCCCAGCCACCCCCAGGGGCCCGAGGACAACCCTTCCTTCCAGGTCCCCCAAGGACCCGAGGCCGGGCTCCTCCCTCCGGGGACTCCCTGGCAGTTTGCAGGGTGAAAGCAACTCCCAGCCGCTCGGGGAAGCGGGGAAGAGGGTTGCCAGTGAGCGGCCGGCCCCTCCCCCAGGTGACCGACGGCTGCGGGAGCCCCCTGCACCGGCTGCGCTCGCCTCTGCACTCGGGCCCCGGGTCCCCGGCGGGGGGCTCTTTCTGCCTGGAGCCTCCGGGGTTGCGGCGCAGCCTGGACGAAGACGAGCCCCCGCCCTCGCCGCTCACACGCTACCGGCCCCTGCACAACGCCGCCTCGCACGAGGGCCTGGCCGCCGCGTCCTGCTCGCCGCCGCGCTCCGCGCCCTCCTCGGACAGCTCGCCCAGCTTCGTGCGCCGCCACCCGCGCGCTGAGCCCCACAGCGAAGGTGAGCGGCCGTCGGCACGGCGCCCCCTGCCGGCGAGCGCCGGGACTGCAGCGGTCCCTGCCAGTCAGCCCGCCCCCGAAGGGGAGGGCTGGACCAAGTGCGGCAGGGCCGCTGGGGACGAGGGGACGAGGGGGCGGGGGGGGGGGGGGGGGGGGGACGACACACTGCGGCTCCCGCCGTCGCTTACTGAGCGCTTACTATGTACCAGACACTGTTGGGCACCGGGACTCACAAGTAAGGAAACAGAGGCAGTCTTTGCCTTCACGAGGCTTGCAGTTTTGGGGAGAAACCATCTAATAATTCCTCATAGTTTAAGGGAGAAGTGATCAAATCATCCCTTAATTAAATGTATCGTTACAAGTCGTAATAAGTGCTCTGTGAGAGACGTGCACGGTTGAGTCAGCGGTGGGGGGATACATAGTGGGGGGTAAAGACCTGGTGGGGAGCCTCCGGTAAGGCTTCTCTGAGGAAGTGACACGTGAGCCAAGATTGGAAGGCTGGTTAGAAGTCAGGATAAAATGAACAGTGAGTAGTAGCAGTTCCTACTTTTTCATGGTTTGCATAAAGCTTTCATAAATATTCCATGAAATAGGCAGGTGCTCGTGTGGGTCAGGTGTTATCCCCATATTTGAGATGAGGAAGCTCAGAGAAGTAGAGTGATTTGTCCAAAGTCACACAGCTAGTGACGGGCACCTGAGCCAACTGGCCTGCTTCTAAGTCGAAAGAGGCAGCGGAAGGAGGCAGGCAAGCCACCACACGGGCTACTTCCTTCCCTCTCTTCCCTGAAAGATGACAGCCGGGATGCCAGCCCGCCTGAGCCTGCCAGCCCCACCATCGGCCTGGATAAGAAGACTCGCCGAAAGTTCCTGGACCTGGGGTGAGTGGAGAAAGGGCCAGAAGCAAAGGCTTGGAGCTTTGGGGTGCAGGGTAGCACAGTGGGCAGCACTGCCCCACTCCCCCCTGCCCTCCCTCACAGGGTCACCTTACGCCGAGCGTCCACTAGCAAGAGCCGGAAGGACAAGGGCAGCAACCGCTTGTCCATGGGCAGCAGGTAAGCCGTCCGCACTGTGCCTCAGCCCCCCACGGCTTCTGCCCGGAGTTCCCCTGGGGCCCCGGCCCTCCCCGTGGTGCCCACGCCCATGCTGGCTGCTCTCTCCACAGGGAGTCAGTGGAGGGGTCCGGCAGGTCAGGGGGCTCCCCGTTCCTGCCCTTTTCCTGGTTCACAGACAGCGGCAAGGGCTCGGCGTCCTCTGGCAGCACCACCTCGCCCGCCTGCTCCCCTAAACACGAGGGCTTCAGCCCTAAGAAGTCAGCTTCTCAGGTGAGCCAATGGTCTCCCTGCCCCTGTACTGGCCCCAGACTCAGGTGACATGAGGGGGTGGCACTTCCCCCTGGCTGGCTCTGGGATCCAGGCACTCCTGGAGTCCATTTGTCTATCCATGGAGCCATTTAGTGATTCATTAGTTCATCCATTCTCTGAGTTCATTCATTCACTTGTTCACTCATTCATATTCTGAGTAGTTCCTCCATTGAGTCATTCACTACATTCAACACACCGAATGCTAGTCCCCCCTGCCCCCCGCCGTTATCCACCCAGCCTGAGGCCTCCTCCGTGCACCCTAACTCTTCTGCCTGGCTCCCCATGTCCTGAATCAGCCCCTGGACTACCTGTGTGGTGGGGTGAGGCTTGGAGGGAACTGGGATGAAGGGCGCACAAACTAGCTAGTGCTCAGGAAGTGGGGAGAAGTGGGGGACAGAAGCGGCCATGAGTGTCTGCCCCCGCTCACGCCGCATCCTATACAAGGCTCCAAGTTCTACTTGTGCTTTCCTCTCACAAAGCGCGGGCACGTTTAGCCCAGTTGTCCAGATGAACGAATGAAGGCCCAGAGAGAAGGGACTTGCCACGTGGGTTTGCTGCCAGGCTCCATGCTGGCTCTGTGGTTGTTCCTTATGTGCTACTGGGGCAGAGGAGATCGGAAAGCTGCGAATTCAGGGGAGAAAGAGTTCCATCTGACTTGGGACTTCCTGATTTCCTCTCTCCCTGCACAGACTCCCTCCGTCTCGTCCTTCCCTCGTGCTGGGCCCTGGGATAGCATGGTGAACAGACAGCCCAGGGCCTCTTAGAGCTTATGATCTCTGCCCAGGCACTTAGAAGCCAGACTACTAGAGGCTATGATGGGAGGCACAAAGGGAGGACCCCTGACCTAGGCTCGGGGAATCCTGGTCAGCTGCCTGCAGGAAGGGACACCTAATCTGAGACCTCCGCCATTCCTGCTAACATTCTGCCTCACTTCTAGCCCCACGACCTCCTAGAAGCCTTCCATCCTGATGCCTCCCATGAGTCACCACGTCCTATGTGCCTGCCCAGCTCCTGGTTCACGCACAGGAGGCACTGAGCAACTCCTGGTGCTCAGTTCCCAACTTCAGCTCCATTCAAATGGGAGCAGTGGGTTGGGGAGACTCCCTTGGGCTTGGGGGTGAGCTCTCTCCTCAGCGGCTCGCACCCCTCCTCTCTAGGAATCCACCCTGAGTGATGACTCCACACCCCCTAGCAGCAGCCCCAAGATCCCAAGTGGGCCCCGGCAGGAGACCAAATGCTCCTACCCCTACCACACACTGTCCCAGTCTTCGGATGAGGTAAGCAAGCCCTGCCCTCTGAGTGTTGGGGGTGCAGGCCACGGGCCATGTCTTCCCCCTCACCGTCCTTGGTCTCCACCCCAGTTCCTGGATGAGCCTCTCCCCACTGTCCACCACTGGACCAGCCAGCAGGTGGGCCAGTGGCTACACAGCCTCAGCCTGGAGCAGTATGCCGCCGAGTTCGCCGCGCGGCAGGTGGATGGGCGCCGGCTCCTGCAGCTGGATGGAAGCAAACTGAAGGTGGGTCAGAGGAGGAGAGCTGTGACCCAGCCAGAGCCCAAGGCAACCTTCCAGGATTGGGATTCCCCCCCCCCCCCGATCTTTCATTGCCTCTAAGACCACCACCCTGACCTCTGACCTCTGGACAAGGTCCCCAGCCTGATCTTTGCACTCTAGCATGGGTCCCCCGTCGGACTCGAAACTCGAGCCCCATCCTTCAGTTTGACCTTCAAGCCCCAGCCCAAGTCTCCAGGTTAACATTGAACTAGGACCATCACATCACCTGGCTCTTGATTCTGAGTCTCCTGCTGTCATAGGAAACCAGGCCTCTCCTTAATCATCTTGCCTAATTCTCAGTCTTAGAGGCTGCTGGTAGTCAGGGGAGGTCAGGGCCGGGGGGGGGCGGTGCGGGGGTGCTCGGATCTTTGTGCTGGGAGGTTTCTGACCTGTTCCCCACCCTGCAGTACATTGTTTAGGCAAGAGGTGCTGAGGAGAGGCTCCCAGGAAGTCTGTGGAGTGGGGAGGGGCCTCGGCCACTGTCTAGCAGTGTAACCTTGGGCAAGTCACTCCCTATCTGTGGGCCTCAGGGGGCTGGGCAGGATCGTGCCAAGGCTGAACTCCTGAGTGGAGGAATGGGAGCCGAGGATTGCCGGGGGTGGGGGCAGGGGGCAAAAGGTCTCGTACCCTCCATCAGCATCTTTCCCAAACGCTCCCATTCAGAATTCTGGCCCTGAGTGTTCTGATCCCCGGGCCAGTCTGGGAGGTGGAGGCCACATTTCTGGGAGGACTGGCCGAGCTCCAGGCAGGGTGCACCTGGGGCACAGAGAACCGGGGGCCGGGGTTGGCCAGGGCCCGAGTGCTTCTGGGGCTCTTTCCCTCACCCTTGAATTCCTCCCCAGAGCCTGGGGCTCAGCAACTCGCATGACCGGACGCTAGTGAAGCGGAAGGTAAAGGAGCTGGCAGCAGCCGCTGAGAAGGAGCGCAAGGCCCAGGAGAAGGCCGCACGGCAGCGTGAGAAGCTCCGGCGCAGGGAGCAGGAGGCCAAGAAGAGCTAGGGGATGGCGGGGGGGCAGGCACCGGCTCCCGGGCGCTGCTGGCCGCCGGGCTCGGTGGGCACAGGCCTCAGCGGGCAGGCGGGGCCTGGGCGCCAAGCTTGGGCTGGCCTGGCCCCACACTCTCGGGGGGTACATGCCCTCTCTCACCCTGTCACTGTCTGGACCCAGATCCCCCAGAAAGGGAGACCCCAGGAGAGGGCCCAGGAATAAATCCAGTTTTAAGGACTTGTTTGGCACAGAATTCCTAGGGGAGCTGGCAGGTTATGGGCAGAGGACAGAGAGGCCAGGGCCGAAGCAAGTCTGGGAACCCTGAGGCACCTGGGTCAGTCTGACCCTCTGCCCTCAGGCCACGGCGGTGCTGGCCGGCAGTGAGCTAGGACACCTGCTGGCCTGCCTGCCTTCTAGAGGCTCTGAGATGGGGCCTGGGTCCTAGGGCTTAGAGAGGTAGGAAGCATCTCGGCAGGAGCGGGTGGACAGAGTTGCTGCTCTCCAGCTCCCCAAGGGGGCTGTGTGCTGGGAGAGCTGGCTTCCGCTCCCAAGGGAGGCTGGTAGGCGCTGCAGCAACCTGCACTCAGGGTAGACTCCCAGTCCGCACTCAACGGGAGAGCAGAGAGAGCCGCATGGTTATCCCAGGCGATCTTTGCCAGGACTTCCGGAGCAGGAAGGAATGGTGAAAACGTCCTTCGCCTTCCCCTTCCCTGCCCTGTGGGTCCCAATGGTGAGATGACATCCATACAGGTCTGCCCCTCCTGGGGCCCACTCAAGGCCTGGTCTTTGACCTGCTAACACAGGGCCCGCTTCCTGTTGCTCCCTCGGAGGACAGCAGAGCCCTCTCTGGGGACAGAGCAGACTTGGGAGCTGGGGTGGGGGGGTGACAGAGGACCCCCCCCCACCAATGCCTAGGTGGCACTGAACAGGTGAATCCTCGCCCCAGCCAGGTGGAGAGGCAAAATCTGGCAGTTCCCCTGGAATCTACTGGAAGGGTTCATCAGCCTTCCCCCATCTGCTCGGGTCCCTGTCGGGGCCTCAGCGGGTTCCAGAACCGGCAGACCGTGCAGGCTCTGGTTCGCTGGGCCCCAAGGAAGGGTGCGCCAGGCCCCTGGGTGGGGGTGGGATCTGTCCCAGTAGCCCAGGGATGACATCGATCCTTGTAAGGAGGGAGCGTTCAGGTGCAGCACGGGCCGGCAGCTTCCGGAGGACTGGCCAGTGACCAGTGCGGGCTGGGGGCCCTCTGATTAGAAGTCCCTCTCCACCTCCAGCTGCCTGGAGTGGCGGACAGGACCCAGTGCGTGCCAGCTCCCCTCGTTCCTGCTCGGGGGTTTTGGCTTCAAGGCCACCCCTGCTCTGGCCGCGGCCCCGTCCCTGGGACTCAGCCCTGCATCCCCCGCTGCTGTCCGTGCAGGGAGAGGAGCTCCGCGGAAACGAGACTTGGGGGCCCCCGGCACCATCGGGGCCTGTCGGAGGGGCTGGTGGGGAGGGTGGAAGGCACCCAGGCCTTTGACACTCTCAGGAGCTATGGGGGCACCCACCTGCATGTGAAGGGGGGTGGTACTCAATTATTTCAATAAACACTTATGATGTGCCAGTGACCTCTGTGTGCCCCCACTGGGAGGCTGGGCCCTGAGTGCGGGGGGGCACGTCTGGCCCCAGCAGCCGCCCTATCAGGTGTTCAGGAAGGGATGGTTCTGCCTGGTGGTGTGCTCGTGGAACACCCTGAGTCACGCCCCGGGCTGGGTGTCCCGAGCGCGTCATACGGTAGTCACAAGGCCTGCACTCTGCGTGGTCTGTGCGTGCACATTCCCCCCCCACCCCCCCGCCCCCTCCACCCCGGGAAAGCAGCCAGGCCACGGGCTCATTCAGTCTCCTCTTTATTGTGGATGTCACGGCCATCGTCCCAGCCACTGGGGGGAGCACACAACTTTAACCCCTGTGTGCTGAGGGGAAGGGTGGGGGCTTTCGGGGCTATAAAACTAGCTATGTACATAGAGCCTTCTAGGGAGAAAGCCACCCCAAGCACGTGCGTGTCCAGGCACAGGGGGAGTGGGGGTCTGGAGCTCAGGCGGGACCGTGTGGGGGTGGGGCGGGCAGGTGGCCGTGTGCATGTGAGGACATGCTGGCGAAGGGCTTGGGAGACGCCTGAGGGGCTCTGAGCAGCTTGGCTGGGCAGCCGATCTCCGGGTCCTCCCAGGTTCCTTCACATTAAGGGTGAGCCCTGGGTGAGAACTGCCCCCTCCTAACCTTGACCTTCCAGCTTAGGGTGGAGGGAGAGGCTGCAGGACCAGGTCCCCAACCAGGGAGGGTGCAACCCCCTTCTCTACACAGGGACACGCAGCCCCTTGCTAACGCTGACCCGGGGCCAGGGCCGGGGTGCCTGCACGGGCCGGGGGATAAGGCAAGCAGGGTGTCCACTTGGAAGGCCAGGGCTGTGGAGGGCAGTGAGGGGGACCCTGGACCCCTGGCAGAAAAGTGGCAGCTCTGGTCTCAGAAGGAGGACTGCCATGGAAACATGGCTCTGGGGACTCCCCCCCCCCCCCGTCACGATAGAGACATCCCCCCATCCTTAGGCATCGCCCACCGAGACTGAACAGCAGGGAGACCACCGAGGGGTCTCCGCGGAGACGGAGATTGGCACTTAGACCACAGACTGGTCACCGTGGTGATTTCCATGGAGACAGAAGCTGGTCGTCAGGGGAGAGCCACCCCCCACCTGGCGGGGATGAGGAGGGCCACCGTGGTGGCCAGTCCCGGAGACAGCAGTCTCTCCTCTCCGGTGCAGGGGAGTCCGGCGGCCCTTAGCTGACACGGTACGTGGACGTGTTCTTCGGCTCCGTGCTGGGCACACACCAGTCGCCAGCCTCGTGGATGGTCTGGTAGTGGCGCCAGGCTGACTTGTTGTAGACGGGCAGGCGCTCCACCGAGTCCGTGGACAGGGCCTGGAGAGCACCGGGGTCAGCCTGTCCCACTTCCCCGTGCCTCACCCACTTCTCGCTCAGGCACCCTTTTCCCAGGGTGGGTTGTGGTGGTGTTGGGCCACGGCCCCCACGTCCCACCCTGTGTCTGAGTCGGCCCAGCTAGGTGCCAGACACTGGCTGAGACAACGAACCCCGGCCCAGAAAGACCCATGAAAGGACCTGTCCCTTCTGTGCCTTGCCCCTGCCCATTCCAGAAGGCTACTCACTCAAAGGGTCAGGGAGGTAGAGGGAAGGTGGGCTGTGACCTTGAAGAAGGTCACAAATTCTGGGCCTCAGTCTGGCCCTGGGCTGAATGACAAGTTCTCTGTGGTACCCCCCTTCCTTCTATGTGTAAGAAGTCAAAGGTCCCCAGAACAGGGGTCTTAATCACGGACCAGGGACTTCCTTAAATTGCCTGCCGAGCTGGGAATGTCTGCAGGTTGCGGAACTGTAGCTTTGCTCTGATTCCCAGTCTGGAATGAGGAAAGGAGTGGAGGGGTGGAGACGAAACCTACCAGCAGGCTGACCGGCCCGCACACCCCGCAAGCTGGGCCCTGCGCCAGGACCCTCACCTTGAGATAGATGACAGCGTCGGTCCCAAAGCCCTCCATGGAGAAGAGCTGCAGGTCTCCCTGGAAGTACTTGGCATAGAGGCGGGAGATGGGGAGCCCGTACCCGAAGCCAGCCTACAAGGGGGCAGGAAGGGAGTGTGACCAGGAGGCTGGTGCTGGGCCTCCTGGAGCAAAGGGACCAATGCACTGAGTTGGGGTCGGGCCAGGAGCTTCCCAGAATCCCCCGGGGGTGAGGGCAGTCAGTCCGGTGGGGCCAGAAAGGCGGAGCAGTCCCAGCTGTGGGTGGTAGTCAGCGGGGCTGGCAGAAGAGCTCAGCCCTAGGAGCCGGCGGGTCTGGACAAGCGGGTGTGGATAGGTCACGGGGCTCCTGGGTCTCAAGTTCCCAAACCCAGCCCCCCTGCTCTGCTGGGCATGACAGAGAGGTGCTGATGAGCGAACTTCGTGGGGCGTGAGAGGGAGAGGGAGAATTGAGGAAAGGGGACAGAGAGACACCCGCAGCTCAGGCGGGAGGGCAGCGGCTGCAGGCTCGGGGGGGGGGGGGGGGGTGAGGAGCAGGGGGGCCGGGACTGGGAGAGGTGACTGACACCGCATACAGCCACACAAGAGCGAAGACCATGGGAGGTGAGGTGAAAGATGGGGAGAGGGACAGTTTGATGAGAAGAGGTGAAAAAGGCATCCTTTAGGAGGTGGGGGGCACAGGAGGGAGACCATCTCACCAGCGGGGTCCCTCCAGTGCCGGGCTGGGGAGTGGGCGCTGTGGAGTACATGTAGCTAAAGAGTCGCTCGATCTTCCTCAGGGGAACTCCCCCACCTCGGTCACTCATCTGGGGGAGACAGACATGGCTTCAGGGCTCATGCCCCCTGCCCCCTGACACCCCTGAGCTCTTGGTCGTCCCCATCCCCAGGGTCTTCTCTGAGCCCATCTCCTGGCAGGAGGGAAGTCCCCACACCACTGCTCTCTGGCCCCCAAATCAAGCGTCACATACTTTGATGGACAGATCTTCCTCACCCAAGGCCACCATGACCTTGATAGGTGGGAGGACAAGGCTGGACTCGTGGCTTTCCACGGTTGCACGCATGGCATTCTGTGGAGGGACAGGCGGAAGAGATGAGTAAGAGTGGCCTAGCCCTAACCACCCCCAACGCCGCAGAGGACCATCACCCCCCACCTCCTTACCTTGAAGAGTTCAAAAAGCATGTGGTAGAGGTGGGAGGGGACATAGACCATGTGAATTGGCTGTTTGGAGTTGGATGCTGCTGGGGAAGTCAAGACCAAGGATCAGGAAATTGTCAAGAGGTCACCATTCAGCATTCATTGACTCAGCACCTAGCACCCAGCACTCAACCACCCATTTATCCTCCAACCATCTGCCAGGCCATTCATCTGGCATTTATTCATCCAGCTATTCATTCATTCGGTGTCCATTCAACCATGTGTCCATACAATATCCATCACTATACACATGTCCATCCATTCACCCGTTCACCCGTCCATCCAACAACCACTATATCAACATCCACTAATTCCTCTATCTACCCATCCAGCCATCCGACTGTCCCTCAACTGCACATCTGTTCAAACATCCATCCTTCTTCCCATCTACCAATTCATTCATAGAGTCCAGATCCAGCCTTCCATTTATCCACTGTTTATCTAGCCCCTTCAACCATTCAGAAAGTATCTATCCGGCCTATATTCAGCCTACTAGCATTTGCCTGGACCCCAGAACCCCTGGAGAGCTTTTTAATCCAGTGGGGAGAGGGAAGGGGTGCTGCGCCATGATTCTGATACCAGCACTCTGCCTCTCAAGGATCGCTCTAGCCTGGAGAGCTTGGCGTGAGGGACTGCCTGTCTTCTCCTGGTGCCTGGCACACAGCTTTGTATGCAGTGGGAGCTCGATAAATGTGCAATGGATTCGTGAATGAAGGAATCTCAGGCCCTGTACTGGGCAGTGGGGCATAAAGATGAACAAAATTTGGCCCTACCCTCTTGGAAATTCAAGTCTAGACAAAGGCACAACGGACTTTTACATTGAATGCTGCACCCAGAGCTACGTGCCAGGCCCTGCGCTTGACCCTAGGGATACTGAAGTAACGTGGCCTGTCTCTGTCCTTCTATCTCTGCCTCCAAGAAATTAATTAACTAATTAATTAATTTATTTATTTATTAAAGATTTTATTTATTTGACACAGAGAGAGAGAGAGCACAAGCAGGGGGAGAGGGAGAAGCAGATCCCCCGCTGAGCAGGGAGCCTGATGCGGGGCTCGATCCCAGGACCCTGGGACCATGACCCAAGCCGAAGACAGGCACCCAACCAGCTGAGCCACCCGGGTGCCCCATACCTCTAAGTCATTCAGTCATTACAGAGGTATGCCCCAGGAAGCTGGGTGCCTAAACATTTTTTCTGGGAAGTCCAGGAAGGCTTTTCGGAGGACCTGGACTTGAACTGGGCCTTTCAGATGTGGGCAGCGTGACTTCCACAGGTTTCTGGCGCACAGGCAGGGGGTGGCTGAGGAGCAGGTGGGGGAGAGGAAGGGTAGAGAAACTTCCAGATCTCTGATCCTCCTTTCCCCTATGCCCCTGGTTCATCAGCAGGGCCTGATCTCTCTACCTCCAAGATATTTATCAAATCTACCCCCTCTTTCCATCTCTGCTGCCTTCCCCTCCCCTGGATTCCTGCAGTGACCTCCTAAGTGGCCTTCCCGAGGTCTCGCCTGCCCCCTCCACCCTCTACATATCTTTAGAATGAACGTCAGAAGCTGGCATCACCATTGCTTCGAACCCTTCAGTGGGCTTCCCTGCTGCACACAACATCCCAGCTCCTGTCTGTGGCCCACGGGCCCTGCATGCCTTGGCCTCTGTCTCCAACCCCTCCCTGCCCATCTCCCAGCCCCCTCACTGGTCCTGCTGGTGCCTGACCACCCGCCCCACCCAAAGTAGGACCCCCGCAGCCATCCTCTTGTGTCCATTCTTCCCCTCCTCTTGTCACAGATATCCCCTCCCCTAAAGTTCTAACAGGCTGCTGGCTGCCCAGCTATATAGACTGAATTCCCGGCCTCCCTGGCAGCTAGACCTGGCAGGTGACTTAGGGGAGTGACTGTCCAACCCCTGGGTCCTGCCTCCTCCATCCTCTTCCCCTTCTCCAGCTGGAACTGAGACATGAGGGTGGGGAGCCGGCTTTGCTGTTCCACCCCAGGGCCTAGAAAGAGGGAAACCCCTCTTTTAATTA